GTGCTGACAGGCACGGGTGGAGCTGGCATCGGAGACGGCGGTGCTGCTGCAGTCGCTGCTGGCAGCGGAGTCGTCCTCGCTGGCGGAGCTCAAGGCCCTCGTGCCCCTCATCGCCCCCGACCTTGACGACACCACCCGCGCCGACCGCGCCGCCATGTTCTGCCAGGCCGTGCCGCCCGCCTCCCGCTCCCCCCAGGCTGAACGCTTCTGCAACGCTGTCAGCGCCGTCAGGGGGGGGCAGTGAGGGGGATTGGTGGTGTGGCAGTGGGGGTAGGTATGTGGTATGATGGGTGTGCAAGAGATCTGCGTGGGGAGTGCTGTAGAGATGTCGCATAGATGGTTTACCAGGTAGTTGCTGGGAGATGGAGAAGCTAGAAGAAGTGAATGCTACTTCAGAATGTCTGTCTGTACCTTTAAAGCCCGGGGTCAGCATGGTAAATTATCAAGTTATGTGGATTTGAAATAGGCTGTATGCGAGATCTGCGAAGCCTATTTCGGTTGGCTGCCTTTGGCGAGAACAATTATCCTCCGCCAACAAGTGAACATTTCGCACTCACCAAACCTGCGAATCCCACCAACCCAAAGCGACAAATGTGTCGCACACATCCTCTCTCACACATCCTCTCTTGCATCGAGCATGGAAAGTGTTGCTCACCCGAAGTCACCTCACCACTAAATCAGCTCGATGCTAACGGGAAATAGAAAAACAGAGCAAGCAACGCACGTGCTGGGTATCAGCGCCACCTACTCAACGCCACAACAGAAACGTGTTCGAGACGATCCTTACCCCAGATTACTAGCGTACCGACCATCGCAGGAGCTGGCAACAGCAAAGTGTAGGAACGTGCAAGCGCGATTGCACTTACGGGAAGAAGGCCGTGATGACAGACTGGAGACTACGGGTAGCTAGGCACAACAAGAAACCGGGAGTGTATTGGAGTCGTTGTGACTAGCCAGGGGGAAGAAAGCGGACGAGATTCGGCTCGCGCACCAAGCGCCGAGCAGCACCCGCTCGCCGCATTTAGCTGCTCGCGTTCTGTGCGACGCGGAGCCCCGCATTCCTCGCGACGCGGATCCCGCATTTCAGGCGGATCGGATCCCGCCCTCCAGTCGACGCGGAGCCCACGTTCCCGGCGACGCGGACTCCGCGTTCCAGACGACGCGGAGCCCGCGTTCCAGACGACGCGGAGCTTGCATTCCAGACGACGCGGAGTCCGTGTTCCAAACGATTGGCAGTCCGCGTTCCAGACGACGCGGAGCCCGCATTCCAGACGGCGCGGAGCCCGCATTCCGGCGACGAGAAGCGCGCCCTCCAGGTGACCTGGCTACGACCACCGCGCGCACAACTAAAGCGGATACTGCGCACTGACGGGGAGCAAGGGGCAGCACACGCCCCTGCGGCTCGCTCGAGAGGATAGACCAGGTGAGTGCCCAATTCCCTGCTACTGCGACTATAGTACAGTGACAATGGTCGCTGCTGCCTTGGGGGTCCTACCACGCTCACGTGTCACGAGGCAAAGGCACACAGCTGCAACCAGGACAGCTGCTGCCTTGGGCTTGCTTTCACCACTGTAAACCCACCTGTTCTGTCCCAAGGCAGCAGCATCTCTGGATGCTGCTGCCTTGGACCTGGTTTCAGCACCATGCCCCCACCTGCACCCTCTGTCCCAAGGCAGCAGCAACCATAGATGCTGCTGCCTTGGGCCTGGTTTCAGCACCATGCCTCCACCTGTTCTGTCCCCAGGCAGCAGCAACCATAGATGCTGCTGCCTTGGGCCTGGTTTCAGCACCATGCCTCCACCTGTTCTGTCCCCAGGCAGCAACAACCAGAGTTGATGCTGCCTAGGTCTTGCTTTCACCACTGTAAACCCACCTGTTCTGTCCCAAGGCAGCAGCAACCATAGATGCTGCTGCCTTGGGCCTGGTTTCAGCACCATGCACCCACCTGTTCAGTCCCAAGGCAGCAGCAACTGTGGTTGCTGCTGCCTTGGGCTTGCTTTCACCACTGTAAACCCACCTGTTCGGTCCCAAGGTAGCAGCAACCAGAGATGCTGCTGCCTTGGGCCTGGTTTCAGCACCATGCCTCCACCTGTTCAGTCCCCAGGCAGCAACAACCAGAGTTGCTGCTGCCTTGGGCTTGCTTTCACCACTGTAAACCCACCTGTTCTGTCCCAAGGCAGCAGCAACCATAGATGCTGCTGCCTTGGGCCTGGTTTCAGCACCATGCACCCACCTGTTCAGTCCCAAGGCAGCAGCAACTGTGGTTGCTGCTGCCTTGGGCTTGCTTTCACCACTGTAAACCCACCTGTTCGGTCCCAAGTTAGCAGCAACCAGGGATGCTGCTGCCTTGGGCCTGGTTTCAGCACCATGCCTCCACCTGTTCATTCCCCAGGCAGCAACAACCAGAGTTGCTGCTGCCTTGGGCTTGCTTTCACCACTGTAAACCCACCTGTTCTGTCCCAAGGCAGCAGCATCTCTGGATGCTGCTGCCTTGGGCCTGGTTTCAGCACCATGCCCCCACCTGTTCACCATCCGCGTCTTCCACTCCATCTGTATGTTGCTTATAGGTGATGTGTCGAACCTCCCACGCTAAGCACCCAAGGCGAACATCAAGCGAGCTTTCAAACCCGCTAGAGGCTTGCTCGGCATCACGCAGAGCCACCACGACGCCCACCACAACAATCGACCCCCCCAAAGGTATTTGACAAACACCCATCGCCCACCATGCTATAACTTGGCCTGCTCAGCTCTCCCATTCCCTACCATGCCCTGTTTGGTCTCGCCTCGATCTTGTCTACTCCACCTCGGCATGCCACTCCCCATCTTCCCTGTCCTGCCCCGCACCGCGTTTCCGTGCTCCAACTAAACATGCCATGCTATACCAGGAGATGCCTTGCCCTGCCCTGTCATGCCCTACCCTGCCCTGCCCTTCCCTGCCCTGCCCTGCCCTGCTAGCCATGCCCTGCCCTGCCCTGCCCTGCCCTGCTCTGCCCTGCCCTGCCGTGCCCTGCCCTGCCGTGCCCTGCCCTGCCGTGCCCTGCCCTGCCGTGCCCTGCCCTGCCCTGTCCTGCCCTGACCTGCCCTGCCCTGTCCTGCCCTGCCCTGCCCTGCCATGTCCTGCCCTGCAATGCCGCCCCGCCCTTGTCTGCACCCTCATTTTCTGCCATGCCATGACTAGAGGGGCCATGCCTGCCCTGCTTTCTGATGGCCCGCCCCGCCCATGTCTGCACCATCCGCGTCATGCCATGCCTCTCCCATGCCATGCCATGCCCTGCGGTGCCCTCCCCTGTCATGCTCCGCTCCGCCCTTCTCCCTCCCCCCCTCCAGGCATGCCCTGCCATGCTCTGCGGATGAGATTATTCATAGCTACAGGCACACCACCCTAAATTCTGGCTTATCCTCCTTCTCATTGGCTATAGCTGCAGGTTACCACTGTGAGAGGGATAAGGCGGAATTGCCATCGGATCAAGGGGATGATGTGGCAGACGCAGTGATAAAAGATGCGGAGGATTGGAGCGACGATAGTGATGAGTGGTGGGTAGCAGGCCACTATGACGGGGAGGAAGTGGAGGTGTGGGTGGCAGGTCAGGATGAATAAATGGGGTTGTGTTCCCATCCCCACTGTGCTAATGTGGTCTTGAACATGTCATGCTTGAATGTGTTTTCACCAACTTTGCCGTTCTGTCCTAAACCTAATCATGATAAGAGTGAAATAAACTTGCACATATTATAGCCCGGTGAAACTACTCCCATGCTTCGATTCTTGAGACCCTAATCCAGCTCATGTTCCATTCTGCCTAGGGCACTAGCTTGTTTGGTATCCCAAAAAGGATACATCCATGATGATGTGTAACAATTATCTTACTCCAAAGGTGTCAGTACTGGAATCGACACACCAGTTAGCCTGCCAACACATGGCAGATGCATGGGTGGGATAGAAGGCGCACAGCTTGAGGGCTAAAAAATGTACCGGTAGTAGCTCAGAGAAGGAGCAGACGAACCAGTGGCAGCTATAGGATCTCTGGAGGGACTTGCTGCTGCTCTTGAAGCAGAAAAGCAGGGGTGCAAGGGTGGAAAGCAGGGGTGCAAGGGGGAGAAGCAGGGGTGCAAGGGTGGAAAGCAGGGGTGCAAGGGGGAGAAGCAGGGGTGCAAGGGTGGAAAGCAGGGGTGCAAGGGGGAGAAGCAGGGGTGCAAGGGTGGGAAGCAGGGGTGCAAAGGTGGAGAGCAGGGGTGCAAGGGTGGAAAGCAGGGGTGGAAGGGTGGGAAGCAGGGGTGCAAGGGTGGAAAGCAGTGGTGCAAGGGTGGGAAGCAGGGGTGCAAGGGTGGAAAGCAGTGGTGCAAGGGTGGGAAGCAGGGGTGCAAGGGTGGAAAGCAGTGGTGCAAGGGTGGGAAGCAGGGGTGCAAGGGTGGAAAGCAGTGCATAGGTGGAAAGCGGGACCAGACGAAACAGTGACAATTTGAATTCACATTAGTGGTGGGTATGAGAGGAGTGGGTGATATGAAAGGAGTGGGAAGTTTGGAACGAGGGTGTAGGGATATGAGAGGAGCAGGGGGTATGAGGGGACTGTGGGGTATGAGAGGAGTTGGGTGTACGAGGGGAGTGCGGGGTATGAGAGGAATGGGGAGTATGAGAGGAGTGGGGGGAGTGGATGGTATGGAATGAGTGGGGGTATGAGAGGAGTGGGGAGTATGAAAGGAGTGGGGGGTATGAGAGTAGTGGGGAGTATGAAAAGAGTGGGGGTTATGTTGCAGCATGCTGCTGGCAATATGCTGAACGAGGCATTACTGGACATGTTTTCAAAATCATCAATGCAGCAGATTCCCCGGTCGCTCAGCACCTGGGCGCCGCTCTCCAGCACCTGCTGGGCGGCAAGCATGGAGGGGAATGGGAAGAGAAAAATAAGCACACATCTCAGCATTCAGCCCAGACTTTATCATCTCATCGATGCAGCAGGCACTTTTCGAACGTGAGCGTGTTCCTAAGTCTGCTGCGCTGCCCCCTAGTTGCACCTGCGTCCCCCCTCATCCTTCCGGATGTGAATGCAGTCCAAAAAGGTCTGCAAGAGAGGGTGAATGGTCACTGAGATTGCACACAAGTCTGCTGCGCTGCCCCCCTGTTGCGCGTGCGTCCCCCCTCCTCTTTGCGATTGTACATGGGGAGGGAGAGGATAGGTACAAGGGGAGGGATTGGAGAGGCACATGGGGAGGGACAGGAAAGATGGCAAGATCGAGGGAGAGGAGGGGCATGGGGGAAGCATTGGGGATGGAGGGGGGAAGCAGGGAGGAGGGAGAGGGAAAGCAGGGAGGAGGGAGAGGGAAAGCAGGGAGGGGGATGGGGGGGAAGCAGGGAGGGGATGGGGGGAAGCAGGGAGGGGGATGGGGGGAAGCAGGGAAGGGGATGGGGGGAAGCAGGGAAGGGGATGGGGAGAAGCAGGGAAGGGGATGGGGGGAAGCAGGGAGGGGGATGGGGGGAAGCAGGGAAGGGGATGGGGGAAGCAGGGAAGGGGATGGGGGAAAGCAGGGAAGGGGATGGGGGGAAGCAGGGAAGGGGATGGGGGGAAGCAGGGAAGGGGATCGGGGGAAGCAGGGAAAGGGATGGGGGGAAGCAGGGAAGGGATGGGGGGAAGCAGGGAAGGGGATGGGGGAAGCAGGGAAGGGGATCGGGGGAAGCAGGGAAGCGGAGGGGGGGAAGCAGGGAAGGGGATGGGGGGAAGCAGGGAAGGGGATGGGGGGAAGCAGGGAAAGGGATGGGGGGAAGCAGGGAAAGGGATGGGGGGAAGCAGGGAAGGGATGGGGGGAAGCAGGAAAGGGGATGGGGGGAAGCAGGGAAGGGGAGGGGGGGAAGCAGGGAAGGGGATGGGGGTAAGCAGGGAGGGGGATGGGGGAAAGCAGGGAAGGGGATGGGGGGAAGCAGGGAAGGGGATGGGGGGAAGCAGGGAAGGGGATGGGGGGAAGCAGGAAAGGGGATGGGGGGAAGCAGGGAAGGGGATGGGGGAAGCAGGGAAGGGGATGGGGGGAAGCAGGGAAGGGGATGAGGGGAAGCAGGGAAGCGGAGGGGGGGAAGCAGGGAAGGGGATGGGGGGATTCTGGGTGGGGGATGGGGGGAAGCAGGGAAGGGGATGGGGGGAAGCAGGGAAGGGGATGGGGGGAAGCAGGGAAGGGGATGGGGGGAAGCAGGGAAGGGGATGGGGGGAAGCAGGGAAAGGGATGGGGGGAAGCAGGGAAGGGATGGGGGGAAGCAGGGAAGGGGATGGGGGGAAGCAGGGAAGGGGATCGGGGAAAGCAGGGAAGGGGATGGGGGGAAGCAGGGAAGGGGATGGGGGGAAGCAGGGAGGGGGATGGGGGGAAGCAGGGAAGGGATGGGGGAAGCAGGGAAGGGGATGGGGGGAAGCAGGGAAGGGGATGGGGGGAAGCAGGGAAGGGGATGGGGGGAAGCAGGGAAGGGGATGGGGGGAAGCAGGGAAAGGGATGGGGGGAAGCAGGGAAGGGATGGGGGGAAGCAGGGAAGGGGATGGGGGGAAGCAGGGAAGGGGATGGGGGGAAGCAGGGAAGCGGGGGGGGGGAAGCAGGGAAGGGGATGGGGGGAAGCAGGGAAGGGGATGGGGGGAAGCAGGGAAGGGGATGGGGGGAAGCAGGGAAGGGGATGAGGGGAAGCAGGGAAGGGGAGGGGGGGAAGCAGGGAAGGGGATGGGGGGGGAAGCAGGGAAGGGGATGGGGGGGGAAGCAGGGAAGGGGATGGGAGGAAGCAGGGAAGCGGAGGGGGGGAAGCAGGGAAAGGGGATGGGGGGATTCTGGGTGGGGGATGGGGGGAAGCAGGGAAGGGGATGGGGGGAAGCAGGGAAGGGGATGGGGGGAAGCAGGGAAGGGGATGGGGGAAGCAGGGAAGCGGAGGGGGGAAGCAGGGAAGGGGATGGGGGGAAGCAGGGAAGGGGATGAGGGGAAGCAGGGAAGGGGAGGGGGGGAAGCAGGGAAGGGGATGGGGGGGAAGCAGGGAAGGGGATGGGGGGGGAAGCAGGGAAGGGGATGGGAGGAAGCAGGGAAGCGGAGGGGGGGAAGCAGGGAAAGGGGATGGGGGGATTCTGGGTGGGGGATGGGGGGAAGCAGGGAAGGGGATGGGGGGAAGCAGGGAAGGGGATGGGGGGAAGCAGGGAAGGGGATGGGGGGAAGCAGGGAAGGGGATGAGGGGAAGCAGGGAAGCGGAGGGGGGGAAGCAGGGAAAGGGGATGGGGGGATTCTGGGTGGGGGATGGGGGGAAGCAGGGAAGGGGATGGGAGAAGCAGGGAAGGGGATGGGGGAAAGCAGGGAAGGGGATGGGGGGAAGCAGGGAAGGGGATGGGGGAAGCAGGGAAGGGGATGGGGGAAGCAGGGAAGGGGATGGGGGGAAGCAGGGAAGGGGATGGGGGGAAGCAGGGAAGCGGAGGGGGGGAAGCAGGGAAGGGGATGGGGGGAAGCAGGGAAGGGGATGGGGGGAAGCAGGGAAGGGGATGAGGGGAAGCAGGGAAGGGGATGGGGGGAAGCAGGGAAGGGGATGGGGGGGGAAGCAGGGAAGGGGATGGGGGGGGAAGCAGGGAAGGGGATGGGAGGAAGCAGGGAAGGGGATGAGGGGAAGCAGGGAAGCGGAGGGGGGGAAGCAGGGAAGGGGATGGGGGGATTCTGGGTGGGGGATGGGGGGAAGCAGGGAAGGGGATGGGGGGAAGCAGGGAAGGGGATGGGGGGAAGCAGGGAAGGGGATGGGGGGAAGCAGGAAAGGGGATGGGGGGAAGCAGGGAAGGGGATGGGGGGAAGCAGGGAAGGGGATGGGGGGAAGCAGGGAAGGGGATCGGGGGAAGCAGGGAAAGGGATGGGGGGAAGCAGGGAAGGGATGGGGGGAAGCAGGGAAGGGGATGGGGGGAAGCAGGGAAGGGGATGGGGGGAAGCAGGGAAGCGGAGGGGGGGAAGCAGGGAAGGGGATGGGGGGAAGCAGGGAAGGGGATGGGGGGAAGCAGGGAAAGGGATGGGGGGAAGCAGGGAAAGGGATGGGGGGAAGCAGGGAAGGGATGGGGGGAAGCAGGAAAGGGGATGGGGGGAAGCAGGGAAGGGGAGGGGGGGAAGCAGGGAAGGGGATGGGGGTAAGCAGGGAAGGGGATGGGGGGGAAGCAGGAAAGGGGATGGGGGGAAGCAGGGAAGGGGATGGGGGGAAGCAGGAAAGGGGATGGGGGGAAGCAGGGAAGGGGATGGGGGGAAGCAGGAAAGGGGATGGGGGGAAGCAGGGAAGGGGATGGGGGGAAGCAGGGAAGGGGATGGGGGGAAGCAGGGAAGGGGATGAGGGGAAGCAGGGAAGCGGAGGGGGGGAAGCAGGGAAGGGGATGGGGGGATTCTGGGTGGGGGATGGGGGGAAGCAGGGAAGGGGATGGGGGGAAGCAGGGAAGGGGATGGGGGGAAGCAGGGAAGGGGATGGGGGGAAGCAGGGAAGGGGATGGGGGGAAGCAGGAAGGGATGGGAAAGGGATGGGGGGAAGCAGGGAAGGGGATGGGGGGAAGCAGGGAAGGGGATCGGGGAAAGCAGGGAAGGGGATGGGGGGAAGCAGGGAAGGGGATGGGGGGAAGCAGGGAGGGGGATGGGGGGAAGCAGGGAAGGGGATGGGGGAAGCAGGGAAGGGATGGGGGGAAGCAGGGAAGGGGATGGGGGGAAGCAGGGAAGGGGATGGGGGGAAGCAGGGAAGGGGATCGGGGGAAGCAGGGAAAGGGATGGGGGGAAGCAGGGAAGGGATGGGGGGAAGCAGGGAAGGGGATGGGGGGAAGCAGGGAAGGGGATGGGGGGAAGCAGGGAAGCGGAGGGGGGGAAGCAGGGAAGGGGATGGGGGGAAGCAGGGAAGGGGATGGGGGGAAGCAGGGAAGGGGATGGGGGGAAGCAGGGAAGGGGATGGGGGGAAGCAGGGAAGGGATGGGGGGAAGCAGGGAAGGGGATGGGGGGAAGCAGGGAAGGGGATCGGGGAAAGCAGGGAAGGGGATGGGGGGAAGCAGGGAAGGGGATGGGGGGAAGCAGGGAGGGGGATGGGGGGAAGCAGGGAAGGGGATGGGGGAAGCAGGGAAGGGGATGGGGGGAAGCAGGGAAGGGGATGGGGGGAAGCAGGGAAGGGGATGGGGGGAAGCAGGGAAGGGGATCGGGGGAAGCAGGGAAAGGGATGGGGGGAAGCAGGGAAGGGATGGGGGGAAGCAGGGAAGGGGATGGGGGGAAGCAGGGAAGCGGAGGGGGGGAAGCAGGGAAGGGGATGGGGGGAAGCAGGGAAGGGGATGGGGGGAAGCAGGGAAGGGGATGGGGGGAAGCAGGGAAGGGGATGGGGGAAGCAGGGAAGGGGATGGGGGGGGAAGCAGGGAAGGGGATGAGGGGAAGCAGGGAAGGGGAGGGGGGGAAGCAGGGAAGGGGATGGGGGGGGAAGCAGGGAAGGGGATGGGGGGGGAAGCAGGGAAGGGGATGGGAGGAAGCAGGGAAGCGGAGGGGGGGAAGCAGGGAAAGGGGATGGGGGGATTCTGGGTGGGGGATGGGGGGAAGCAGGGAAGGGGATGGGGGGAAGCAGGGAAGGGGATGGGGGGAAGCAGGGAAGGGGATGGGGGGAAGCAGGGAAGCGGAGGGGGGGAAGCAGGGAAGGGGATGGGGGGAAGCAGGGAAGGGGATGGGGGGAAGCAGGGAAGGGGATGAGGGGAAGCAGGGAAGCGGAGGGGGGGAAGCAGGGAAAGGGGATGGGGGGATTCTGGGTGGGGGATGGGGGGAAGCAGGGAAGGGGATGGGGGGAAGCAGGGAAGGGGATGGGGGAAAGCAGGGAAGGGGATGGGGGGAAGCAGGGAAGGGGATCGGGGGAAGCAGGGAAAGGGATGGGGGGAAGCAGGGAAGGGATGGGGGGAAGCAGGGAAGGGGATGGGGGGAAGCAGGGAAGGGGATGGGGGGAAGCAGGGAAGCGGAGGGGGGGAAGCAGGGAAGGGGATGGGGGGAAGCAGGGAAGGGGATGGGGGGAAGCAGGGAAGGGGATGGGGGGAAGCAGGGAAGGGGATGGGGGAAGCAGGGAAGGGATGGGGGGAAGCAGGGAAGGATGGGGGAAGCAGGGAAGGGGATGGGGAAGCAGGGAAGGGGATCGGGGGAAAGCAGGGAAGGGGATGGGGGGAAGCAGGGAAGGGGATGGGGGGAAGCAGGGAGGGGGATGGGGGGAAGCAGGGAAGGGGATGGGGGAAGCAGGGAAGGGGATGGGGGGAAGCAGGGAAGGGGATGGGGGGAAGCAGGGAAGGGGATGGGGGGAAGCAGGGAAGGGGATCGGGGGGAAGCAGGGAAAGGGATGGGGGGAAGCAGGGAAGGGATGGGGGGAAGCAGGGAAGGGGATGGGGGGAAGCAGGAAGGGGATGGGGGGAAGCAGGGAAGGGAGGGGGGGAAGCAGGGAAGGGGATGGGGGGAAGCAGGGAAGGGATGGGGGGAAGCAGGGAAGGGGATGGGGGAAGCAGGGAAGGGGATGGGGGGAAGCAGGGAAGGGGATGGGGGGGGAAGCAGGGAAGGGGATGAGGGGAAGCAGGGAAGGGGAGGGGGGGAAGCAGGGAAGGGGATGGGGGGGAAGCAGGGAAGGGATGGGGGGGGAAGCAGGGAAGGGGATGGGAGGAAGCAGGGAAGCGGAGGGGGGGAAGCAGGGAAAGGGGATGGGGGATTCTGGGTGGGGGATGGGGGGAAGCAGGGAAGGGGATGGGGGGAAGCAGGGAAGGGGATGGGGGGAAGCAGGGAAGGGGATGGGGGGAAGCAGGGAAGCGGAGGGGGGGAAGCAGGGAAGGGATGGGGGAAGCAGGGAAGGGGATGGGGGGAAGCAGGGAAGGGGATGAGGGGAAGCAGGGAAGCGGAGGGGGGGAAGCAGGGAAAGGGGATGGGGGGATTCTGGGTGGGGGATGGGGGGAAGCAGGGAAGGGGATGGGGGGAAGCAGGGAAGGGGATGGGGGAAAGCAGGGAAGGGGATGGGGGGAAGCAGGGAAGGGGATGGGGGGAAGCAGGGAAGGGGATGGGGGAAGCAGGGAAGGGGATGGGGGGAAGCAGGGAAGGGGATGGGGGGAAGCAGGAAGCGGAGGGGGGAAGCAGGGAAGGGGATGGGGGGAAGCAGGGAAGGGGATGGGGGGAAGCAGGGAAGGGGATGAGGGGAAGCAGGGAAGGAGAGGGGGGGAAGCAGGGAAGGGGATGGGGGGGGAAGCAGGGAAGGGGATGGGGGGGGAAACAGGGAAGGGGATGGGAGGAAGCAGGGAAGGGGATGAGGGGAAGCAGGGAAGCGGAGGGGGGGAAGCAGGGAAGGGGATGGGGGGATTCTGGGTGGGGGATGGGGGGAAGCAGGGAAGGGGATGGGGGGAAGCAGGGAAGGGGATGGGGGGAAGCAGGGAAGGGGATGGGGGGAAGCAGGAAAGGGGATGGGGGGAAGCAGGGAAGGGGATGGGGGGAAGCAGGGAAGGGGATGGGGGGAAGCAGGGAAGGGGATTGGGGGAAACAGGTAGAGGGTGTGGAGAAGCAGGTCAGAGGATGGGGGAAACAGGGCAGGGGATAAGGGGTCACAAGGGATAGGATGGGGGAAACAGGGCAGGGGATAAGGGGTCACAAGGGATAGGATGGGGGGAACAGGGGCAGATGCCAGAGGAAGGTACATGGGGTGGGACAGGAAAGATGGTGAGATCGAGGGAGAGGAGGGGCATATGGGGAAAGCGAAGGCTCACCTGGTGCGTGGCGCTGACCTCTCTGAGGTCCTTCCCTATGTCCTCCCCCCTCTGTATCTCCCCCTCTGTCCTTCCCCTTCTGTCTCTCTCCCTGTCTCCTTCCCCCTCGATCTCTCCCCCTCTGTCCTTCCCCTTCTGTCAACAACCCTGTCTCCTTCCCCCTCTATCTCTCCCCCTGTGACATTCCCCCTCTGTCTCTCCCCCTGTGTCCTGCACCCTCTGTCTCTCCCCCTGTGTCCTGCACCCTCTGTCTCTCCCCCTGTGTCCTGCACCCTCTGTCTCTCCCCCTGTGTCCTGCACCCTCTGTCTCTCCCCCTGTGTCCTGCACCCTCTGTCTCTCCCCCTGTGTCCTGCACCCTCTGTCTCTCCCCCTGTGTCCTGCACCCTCTGTCTGTCCGTGGGAAGGGCGAGGAAAGAGAGAGAAGGTGGGAAGGAAGGAGTGCAGAGAGATCGAAAGAGGCAGAAGAGAAAGAGAGCGCGAGGGAGATGGGAGTGTAAGAGAGAGCGAGAGATATAGGAAGCGAGGGGAGAGGGATAGATGGGAGGGAGGAAGAGATGGAGGGTGGACGGAGGCGGGGATGCAGGCGGGTACGGTGACGCCAGCGCGAAATACAGAGGCGGAGGCGACGAGGAGAAGCGCGCGCGAAATCAAGTGGCGGGGGCGACGATTTTGGTATCGCGCGGGCGACGATCTGAACCGCGCGCGGGCGACGAGAAGAAGCGCGCGAGGGCGACGTGGAAAATCGCGCGCGGGCAAACGGGCGACGCGCGCGCGGGCGTCAAGGATAAGCGCGCGCGGGCGTCAAGGAGGAGCGCGCGCGGGCAACCTGGAGAAGCGCTGGACGGTGGGAAGCGCGGGCGACGAAAGGAAGTGAGGGCGACGAGTGGTAGATATCGATGCTCGAGCAAGTGTGGCCGACGTGATGAAGCGCGGGAATCGCTTTTCCGCGAGTCTCACGAGGGTAAAGCGCACACGACATCCTACAAGCAGTGAGTGTGGCAACTCATGCCATTTTCGGGAGCCTTGCGCGTGTGGGGCACTAGCACGGACGTACCGTGTCTGGCATTCGAAAGAGGCACGGTGCGGGCGAGTTTGGCAGGCAGTTGTGCTACGCAGTGATTGGACAGACAGCGTGAGGGACTAGTGTTGGCCGAAAAAAACGCCTACCCTTGAGGGTGCTTTTGTCGCCCAGCCGCCCGTTTCCTAGTTACGTGTGTCATAGTGGACTAGAAGTACTACTTGGTCTTCAAGATATGTGAGAGGTGATCCAGGCAATATTGTGGGCGATGGACGGGTCTGTCGTGCGACTGGTCACAAACCAATCAGGAGTGAGGGTCGCAAGAGGTATTCCCGGGGTCGCGAGTTGAGTTTCAAACCAAAGAGGGTTACCCTGTTTTTTTGCGACTTCAAGTTCAAGAATCTTGAACTTGAAATATACCATGTGGTACTCGGGCTTTAATCCAGTGACCTCTACATTGGAGGTTCAAGTGACCTGGTGCTCATGAGAAACAACAAGCCTTGCAATTGCAACTAGGTACTGAAAGATTGTCAGTAGGATGTGATACAATTCCAACATACTGTACACACATCATCCAGATACTAGTACAGCAAAATAACGTGCCATGCCATGCGAGTCTTTCTGCTGCTGCTATTGTGCAGCGCACAACGAAGCAAATAATCTTCACCGCCTGTACACGTGTCGTGTGCAAGGCCTCGGCAGGAAGTGGCGGAGTGGCGTTGTGTGTTAGTGTGTTAACGTGTTAGCAGGTTAGCTGTGTGCATGCTGCCTCCAGGCTGTCCCCTCCATGGCTTGGGCACGGGGCAGCTACCGGTAGAAGGAGGGCAGGGCGTGTAGCGTGGTGCCGTGGAGGAAGTGGTGGAAGATGGTGAGGGCGGCCGCGGGTCGCCCCGTGGGGATCTGGTGGCCCGCCCCCCGCACCGTGATGAATGTCACGCCCTTGTACCGCGTCACCCACCCCCCCACCTGGGGGAGAGGAGGTGAGCGGGAGGGGAGGGGGACGGTGGGTGGGAGGGGGAGGAGGATTTAGGGGCGAACTGGGGGGGAGAAGGGAGGAAGCGGGGGACGATGGAGAGCATTGAGAGAAAACGTGAGGGGAGATGTGAGGGCGGCGGTGCAGCACGTGGCTGTGGTGTGCGTGCCATGCTGCAGCACCTGCACGCCACGCTGCACCGTGTGTGCACAGCAGTGGCACACACCTGGTTGGAGGGCAGCGTCCAGGGGTGGAGAGGGGCGAGCAGCGGCAGGTTGAGCCCCGCCACCCACTGCCTCGTGCCCGTGAACGGCACCACTGAGTCCGTGTCGCCCCTGCCGTGCGCAGGGGTGCACAGCGGTGCAGAGGGGTGCAGAGGGGTGCAGAGGGGTGCAGAGAGGGGTCAGGGGAGTGGTGTGTGTTTTGAAACACCGGAGTGAGGGCAGAGCATGTGGGCTTGGTACAGTGGAGGTGACATGAACTGAGCACATCATACTCCCACATCCCACGACATTCCGCCCTGCACCCACCACCTCATTCCACCCACCAGTGCACTCACGACATGAGGCAGAGGGGCACTCACGACATGAGGCAGAGGGGCACTCACGACATGATCCAGAGGGGCACTCACGACATGATCCAGAGGGGCACTCACGACATGAGGCAGAGGGGCACTCACGACATGATCCAGAGGGGCACTTGCGCTGCGAGCAGGCGGTGCAGCACGGGCAGCATGGAGACCTCCATGTCCGCACTGGCGTACTGCAGTGATGCGCTGTGGGGGGGGGCGAGGGGGGTAGAGAGGGAGGGAGGAGGAAATTAATAAGGGGGTAGGTGAGAGGGTGGTAGGTGATAGGGGGGTGAGAGTGATGCACAGTTGAGAACGGGAAAAGTGGGGGAATGGGAGAGGGCGGGAGGTGCGGAGGGAGGGAGGGAGGAAGCAAGGGAGGGAAGGAGGGAGGCAGAGAGGGAGGGAGGGAGGCAGAGAGGGAGGGAGGGAGGCAGAGAGGGAGGGAGGGAGGGAGGAGTGGGAGTGCGTGCAGCAACGAGGCATGGAGAGCGCACGGTTGGTGCCTCGCACCTGCAGGGCACCCAGTGGTGCGGCTGGGCGGCAGCAGCAGCGGGCATGGCATGGAGGGCGCGCTGCACGGGAGGCCACTGCAGGTACCGCTGCACCCACACGTCCATGCACGCCCTGCTCGCTGCCCCCGCATCCTCCGCCCCCTCCACCTCCCCCTCCCCGTCGACGCCACTCATTGCACCTGCTGCTCCCTCTGCTCCCCTCACTGCACCTGTTCCCCCCTCTCCGCTCTCCCCCTCTCCTCCCCATACACTTGCGCTCTGACCCTGTATTGACCCCACCAGCCCCCCTCCCGCCCCTCTTGCTTGTGAGGCAGGGTGTAAAGAGGAGGGTGAGGAGGAGGTGGCGGAAGGCGAGGTGGAGTGCGGTGTAGAGGGGCGGGGAGAGGAGGTGAAGAGGCGAGAGAGGCGGAAGCGTTGCGTGTTGAGCTGAAGGGAGTGGTAGGCGGGGGAGAGGCACACTGGCGCGTATATGTCTGGATGGGGGAAAGAGATTGAGGAGTGGGGAGGAGTGGAGTGGTGTTAACGCAAGAGAGGGCGTGCGAAGCAGCGAGTGTTTGAGGTGGAAAATAAAAAAGGCGTGCTGGGAATGGAATGGGACGGGTGATGTGTGTTGGGCAGCGTGACACATGCATTTGCTTGGTGAGAGCATTGAGGAGGTGGCGAGAGCAGTGAGGAGGTGGCGAGCAGAGCAGGCAATGTGGGTGGGTGGGTACCATAGGGGTCGATGCCGCTCTGTGCTTGGGGGGCGTGATGGGTTGATGCCAGTGCATGCACGATGGTAGATCCATGCACACATGCACACATGCACACACAAACACACGGACGTCAACAACCCTTGTTGCTCATTTTCATGGCTAGGCACTGCCAACACTGCCAGCACTGCCAACACTGCCAGCACTGCCAGCACTGCCAACACTGCCAACACTGCCAACACTGCCAGCACTGCCAACACTGCCAACACTGCCAGCACTTCCTTGCAGCAACAGGGAAGGCACGAAAGCATGGGACATGAGGCATGGGACATGAGGCATGGGACATGAGGCGAAGGGCTACGGCACTGACGTCAGCGGTGGCAACGGCGTTCATGACAGCGTCACATGCCATGCCGGGCCGCACCGTGTTGGGGGAGAACCCGCATTGCAGGGGGCGGGGGGCATGCGCATGCGCATGGGGCACGGGCAGGGAGAATGGGGAATGGGGCGGAAGGACACATAAGTGGTAACTTGCTCGCCATGGTGAGAGACGAGGAGGTGAATGAAAGGCGCCCCAGCCGAATGACGAGAGAGAGTGGCAGGGCACACAGCAGGGCGGCAGGGGATGATATAGTATACCTGCGCGGCCTGGGAGAAGAGGCGCGGGGAGAGCAGCCCGTGGTCGAGGAAGAAGCGCGCGCGCGAGGAGGTGTCAACGCGCGCGTGCACGAAGGGGTTGCCCAGCAGCACGCCCCCCACCCTCATGCGCACCCTCAGCGCCGGGCGCGCCTCCATCGCCACCAACGCGTCCGCCAGCTGCGGAATGTAGTGACCTGCGCGCACAAGGGGGGCAAATGGGAGAATGGGGAGGAGAGGGAAGGGCGGGGAGGAGGCGTATGGTGGGATAAAGGAGGGGCAGACCAATATTGGCGTCCGCATTGTACCATTCCCCTTTCCCCGCGTACCTCCTGCTTCACCTGCGTCCCTCCTTCCCCCCTCACCTGCAAACCTTCCCCCGCCAGCAGCAGCTTGCGCCCGTTGTAGCGCGGGTGGCGGCGGAGGAAGGCGCGCAGAAACTGCACCGTGTCCTGGGCTGGCACGGGGGGAACGGCGGGATGGGGATCGAGGAAGGGAGAGAGTGAGAAACGAGGAGGCAGTACAGAGGGACGGGCAAGAGGGGAAGGGGTAGAACGGGGACCGGAAGGAAGGGAGGGAAGAGCGGGAGAGGGGGAAGAGGGAGCGGGGAGGCGGGGGGGAAACCTGTTTGGTTGTCGCCCGTGGCGAGGTCGGAGGCCGCCAGCGAGTACGAGAAGCCCGCTCCCGCAGGCGAGTCCAGGAACAGCACGTTCGCCACTGCGCGCACACAGGGGGAGGGAGGGTAAGTGTGGAGATGTACGCACGTAACACGAGGAGCCAGCAGAATGGAGTGGCTTGTGACGAATGTCAGCGAAAGGCAAAGAGGGCGAAGTGGCCGGGCGGGGGGTTACGTTTGTTCCACGAGTACGGGTTGAACTGCAGCTGCCGTCCCGCGGGGCCCGCCACTCGCCTGCACACAGCCACGCCCCACTCACAGTCAGCGCGCTCGTCAAGCGACTCGGCGCACAAGGACGAACCGGCACATGCAAGTCACCAAGAGTGCGCCGGCAACTCACCAGGGCCCGAGCAACTCACCAGGGCCCGAGCAACTCACCAGGGCCCGAGCTCCTGCAGGAGACCGTAGCCGATGGACGAGCACCCTGGACCTGCGGTGACACCACGGCACCACGCACACCCGACATGCGGTGAGGAACAGTCATCCCTCTCTACGCGCATCTCTACGCACCCTCCCTCACACTCCCAGCTGACCCACGCGCATACAGGAAGCGCGATCCCACGACTATCTTTTCATCGGGCGCGATGCCGGATGCATATAGTCGAATGCGATGCCGGATGCATATAGTCGAATGCGAACATCTGCGCACCTCCGTTGAGCCACAGCACGAGCGGCTTGGTGAGAGGCGCCGCCACGGACTCCGTGAGCCAATAGAAGAGCCGCTTCCGCCCCGCCGGCCCCACCGGTATGTACCCCGCCCACTGCCCGAACGCCGGCGCTCCGCGCGGCTGCCCCGGCAGGCCGCGGATGGCGTCGGGCGCGAAGGCGGAGGCGGAGGGGATGCGGGGGGGGAGCAGCAGTAGCAGCAGGCACGGCGCGAGGGATAGCAGGGGGAGACGCGGACGGGAGGGGAACACGGTGCAGCGGGAGTGTGGGCGCATACTCGCAGCTGCGGTGCGGGCGGTGGGGATGTGCATGGCTGGCAGCCGCGCGACAGCGAGCTCGAAGCCAGTCGCTTAGAGTCGTGCGAGCTCGACGCCAGTCGCTTAGAGTCGTGCGAGCTCGACGACAGTCGCATAGAGTCGTGCGAGCCCGGAGAATCGAATTCGCTTATTGTCTGGAGGATATTGACGACGGGCCCATTTCAAACGCGTGAAAAGCTGTCAATGGCCTGGAGGACGAGGGGCATGGGAGCGTAAATCTATTATACTGGCTGGAACTATTTGATGTAGGGCTCCTCCTACTTTCGTCGTTACTAGAAAGTTGCGTGGGTCGTCGTGTCGATTTGGTCGTAGAGATGAAAGTTGGGTCAGGGGGGTATGGAAGCACGAAGGTCAACTGCAAGTCTCGGCGCAGCGGAAATGCAATTCACCACAAGGCCATCCAAAGTGCATGCCACGCAGCGCGTCATGCCCATGTCGCTCAATTTCCAGCGGCTCTCCGTTTCGCTGCGGCAGGCTGGTTGGTACGAAATAACGCTTACCACACTGTAGCTTCCTGACTCAAAACCAATTTGTTGGTTGTACTTAGTATAACTTTAAACCAATTTGGCAGGCCCTCATTCCAACTGGGCCCAGTCAGTGCCTGGAGAGCTTCACAGCTTTGACTGTAGGTTTGGAAAATCTTGAAACTTCTTTCAAGTGGCAAAACTTTCTCATCAACTCCAGGATCTATTTTGCAATTCCCTAATTTCGACCACCGAATCCTTTTGCTCCGGCAGCCACTGCCGTGTTGTCCCCTAGCTGTTGTGAGAAGCCAGTTCGGCTCTTCTTCCGCTTCGCCTTGCCGGAACTGGCCTGCATGGAGGTAACGCCCCAAACAAAGAAAAACCACCAAACGGTGATGAGAACCTCCAGGCAGATGGCCGTGGCCATGCCATGCAGCAACTAGCATCTTGGCGAGGGGACGCACCTTCTTGGCGCCGGATGTGTCGAGGCCGGGAATGGCGGGCATGGCCTTGCCAGACACCATGTCGGCCACGGCCTTCATGCGCACTCGCATCTGGAACAGCTGCGAGATCAGTGCGCTCACCTGCACACCGACAACTCACACACCAATCAATCATGGCAAACCACACTCCGAGATGACAGTAACAAAGTGCACGGACCAAGGGCAAATAAAGAAGCTGTTCATTGCTCCTGCTTCACCTGCCCACCTGCTCCTGCTTCACCTGCCCACCTGCTCCTGCTTCACCTGCCCACCTGCTCCTGGCTTCTGCCTGATCCTTTGGCGATTCGGCGACGGCGCGACGGGCTCTTGGCAAGCAGCTCCGGGTCCGCACGCTCCTCTGATGCGGTGCCGTGCGGTGCGCGGGGGAGCGGCGAGGGGCATGGGGGGGAGTGCATGCGCAAGGATAATGAGTATTAGGAAAGTGAAAGGAGGCAGCACAGCTCGAGCACGCTGCAACACGCTGGGGACACATGTGGTCAGCATGAGATGAATGCAAGCACCGGTGCAGGCACGAGGTTAAAGGAGGATGATGGAGGGTGGAGGAGGGTGGAGGAGCGTGGAGGGGGGTGGAGGGGGGTGGAGGGGCACTGACGGTTGGTCATGGAGGCGATCATGGACTCCATGACTTTGAGGCTCTTCTCTGCCTCGCGCACCTGCTGCGGTGTCAGCTGTCAGCGCACACGGGGTAGGGCGTTGCGTGGGCACACAGCAGTGAGGGAGGGTGGCAGAGGCAAGGCAGGCGATGAGGAAGCTGCGGGCTGTACCATGAGGCCAAGTGAGGGGACAACGGAACACCAGTTACTGTGGTGTGGCACGTGGGGCGAGTTAAGAAGATGGAAGAGCATACAGCAGAGGTGTTTCATTGAGGATGCAAGGCAGGTGAAGGGTGGGGGGCGGGCGGTGCGGGGCGGGGCGGGGAGACCTTGTTCATGCCGGGGATGAGTTTGAGCATGCCGCCCATGGACCCCATGCGCGCCATCATGCGCGTCTGCTTGAGCATGTCGTTGAAGTCAAACTTGGCCTCCATGATGCGCTTCCTCACCTCCGCCTCGTCCTCCTTGTCCATCTGCCATGCCATGCCATGCATCAGCCATGCCACACGCCATGCCACACGCCATGCCACACGCCATGCCACACGCCATGCCACACGCCATGCCACACGCCATGCCACACGCCATGCCACACGCCATGCCACACGCCATGCATCAGCCATGCCACACGCCATGCCACACGCCATGCCACACGCCATGCATCAGCCATGCCACACGCCATGCCACACGCCATGCCACACGCCATGCATCAGCCATGCCACACGCCATGCCACACGCCATGCCACACGCCATGCATCAGCCATGCCACACGCCATGCCACACGCCATGCATCAGCCATGCCACACGCCATGCCACACGCCATGCATCAACCATGCCACACGCCATGCCACACGCCATGCATCAGCCATGCCACACGCCATGCCACACGCCATGCATCAGCCATGCCACACGCCATGCCACACGCCATGCCACACGCCATGCCACACGCCATGCATCAGCCATGCCACACGCCATGCCACACGCCATGCCACACGCCATGCATCAGCCATGCCACACGCCATGCCACACGCCATGCCACACGCCATGCATCAGCCATGCCACACGCCATGCCACACGCCATGCATCAGCCATGCCACACGCCATGCCACACGCCATGCATCAGCCATGCCACACGCCATGCCACACGCCATGCATCAGCCATGCCACACGCCATGCCACACGCCATGCATCAGCCATGCCACACGCCATGCCACACGCCATGCATCAGCCATGCCACACGCCATGCCACACGCCATGCATCAGCCATGCCACACGCCATGCCACACGCCATGCATCAGCCATGCCACACGCCATGCCACACGCCATGCATCAGCCATGCCACACGCCATGCCACACGCCATGCATCAGCCATGCCACACGCCATGCCACACGCCATGCATCAGCCATGCCACACGCCATGCCACACGCCATGCATCAGCCATGCCACACGCCATGCCACACGCCATGCATCAGCCATGCCACACGCCATGCCACACGCCATGCATCAGCCATGCCACACGCCATGCCACACGCCATGCATCAGCCATGCCACACGCCATGCCACACGCCATGCATCAGCCATGCCACACGCCATGCCACACGCCATGCATCAGCCATGCCACACGCCATGCCACACGCCATGCATCAGCCATGCCACACGCCATGCCACACGCCATGCATCAGCCATGCCACACGCCATGCCACACGCCATGCATCAGCCATGCCACACGCCATGCCACACGCCATGCATCAGCCATGCCACACGCCATGCCACACGCCATGCATCAGCCATGCCACACGCCATGCCACACGCCATGCATCAGCCATGCCACACGCCATGCCACACGCCATGCATCAGCCATGCCACACGCCATGCCACACGCCATGCATCAGCCATGCCACACGCCATGCCACACGCCATGCATCAGCCATGCCACACGCCATGCCACACGCCATGCATCAGCCATGCCACACGCCATGCCACACGCCATGCATCAGCCATGCCACACGCCATGCCACACGCCATGCATCAGCCATGCCACACGCCATGCCACACGCCATGCATCAGCCATGCCACACGCCATGCCACACGCCATGCATCAGCCATGCCACACGCCATGCCACACGCCATGCATCAGCCATGCCACACGCCATGCCACACGCCATGCATCAGCCATGCCACACGCCATGCCACACGCCATGCATCAGCCATGCCACACGCCATGCCACACGCCATGCATCAGCCATGCCACACGCCATGCCACACGCCATGCATCAGCCATGCCACACGCCATGCCACACGCCATGCATCAGCCATGCCACACGCCATGCCACACGCCATGCATCAGCCATGCCACACGCCATGCCACACGCCATGCCACACGCCATGCCACACGCCATGCCACACGCCATGCCACACGCCATGCCACACGCCATGCCACACGCCATGCCACACGCCATGCCACACGCCATGCCACACGCCATGCCACACGCCATGCCACACGCCATGCCACACGCCATGCCACACGCCATGCACACACGCCATGCCACACGCCATGCCACACGCCATGCCACACGCCATGCCACACGCCATGCCACACGCCATGCCACACGCCATGCCACACGCCATGCCACACGCCATGCCACACGCCATGCCACACGCCATGCCACACGCCATGCCACACGCCATGCCACACGCCATGCCACACGCCATGCCACACGCCATGCCACACGCCATGCCACACGCCATGCCACACGCCATGCCACACGCCATGCCACACGCCATGCCACACGCCATGCCACACGCCATGCCACACGCCATGCCACACGCCATGCCACACGCCATGCCACACGCCATGCCACACGCCATGCCACACGCCATGCCACACGCCATGCCATGCACCATGCCATGCGCCATGTGCCACATGCCACACGCCACGTGTCACGCCATGCGCCACATGCCACACGCCACGTGTCACGCCATCCGCCACATGACATGCCATGCGCCATGTGCCATGCGACACATGTCGCTTGCCATGCACCATGTGCCATGTGCCATGCGCCATGCAGCATGTACCAAATGTCATGTGCCCTACGCCATGCCCCATGTGCCATGTGACATGCGGCATGTGCCATTAGCCATGCATTACGTGCCAGCCAGATTCCATGTGCCATGTGCCATCAGCCATGTGCCATGTGCGAGAAATGCACCAACACATTTAGTGTGGGCTTCCAACATATTAACCACAGCACACAACACAACCACCATCCACTCACAACCCACACCCCTTCCTGTCGCCTGCCCCACTGCCCACTGCCCACTGCCCACCGCCTACTGCCTCACTGCCCACTGCCCCGCAGAAGCATGTGTGAGCAGGGCGCACTGACCAGCTCCTGCGCCTTCTCAACGAGCGAGAGCACGTCGCCCATGCCGAGGATGCGGCTGGCCATGCGGTCCGGGTAGAACGGCTCCAGTGCGCTCATCGTCTCGCCCTCCCCCACAAACTTGATCGGCCGCCCCGACACCTGCCCACGCGCACGCCACGCACGCACACACACGGAGAGCAGGCAGGTGGTGGGTGGGGAGGGTGTGATTGGCGCGGGAGTGAGAGGGAGGCCCAAGACATCAAGAAGCACATGGGAAGGAGAGAGGTGGTGCAGGAGAGTAAATCAGGTGGCAGGTAGTCACAATGAGGTGACCCGCATCCGTGCTCGACCCGCTACCTCCACCGCGCACAGCCTCTCGCTCAAGTCAGTGGGGTGCAGCCCGGGTGGGTGGGTGAGTGAGAGTGAGACTGACCTCCTTGACGCTGAGAGCAGCGCCGCCACGTGAGTCGCCGTCCACCTTGGTGAGGATGGCGCCTGTGATGCTCACCTCCGCGTTGAACGCCGCCACCAGACCTGCAGCGCCACGGGGGGGCATGCAGCACGGCGCAGCGACAGGGGAGAGGGGCAGGCAGGGGTGAGGCATGGAAGGCAGCAGGGACAGCTGTGATGCATTTGACGCTGGTTCAGGGTTGCGTCACTCGTCAACACCATCCAATTTCACGCTCGACGCTTGACGCAGCATCCTGACTCACTAGCAGCCTTGTGACTCACTAGCAGCCTGGTGACTCACTGGCAGCCTCCCTACTCACTGGCAGCCTCCTGGCCCGTCATGGCATCGACAACGAGCAGCACCTCCGTGGGGTTCACCGCTGCCTTGATGCCCCTCAGCTCCTCCATCATGCTGCGGTCTATCTGCACCCACCACCACCGCACAGCACAGCACAAAACACCAGGACCACGCACACCACACCATCCACACAGCAGCAGAATCAGCAGCAGCAGCAGCGGCGGCGGCAGCCACACAGTGCGGTATGCAGTGAGGCACGATGCAGGGAGGCACGATGCAGGGAGGCACGATGCAGTGAGGCACGATGCAGGGAGGCACGATGCAGGGAGGAACGCTCACCTGCAGGCGACCAGCTGTGTCGACAATGACGACATCCACGCCCGCCTTCTTGGCGGCCGCCACGCCCTGCCGTGCGATGTCCACTGGCCGCGCGTCCGTGCCCTCCGCGTACACCGGCACGCCCACCTGCCACCGCGCCCCCCCCACACGCATGCACGCAGGTGGCATGTGGGAGCGTTGAGTTGCGAGGGAGAAGGGCAGCACGAGGTGCAGCGGGGAGAAGGGCAGCACGAGGTGCAGCGGGGAGAAGGGCAGCACGAGGTGCAGCGGGGAGAAGGGCAGCACGAGGTGCAGCGGGGAGAAGGGCAGCACGAGGTGCAGCGGGGAGAAGGGCAGCGCGAGGTGCAGCGGGGAGAAGGGCAATTTGGTCAAGGGGCCAGCGATTGCCCTTCACCACCCCACCCACCCACCCAGCGTCTGCAGCTGCTCACCTGCGCGCCCAGCGTCTGCAGCTGCTCACCTGCGCGCCCAGCGTCTGCAGCTGCTCACCTGCGCGCCCAGCGTCTGCAGCTGCTCGATGGCGGCGGGGCGGTACACGTCCGTGGCCACCAGCATGCTCGCCTTGCCCTGCGCGCTCCCCACCGCCAGGGGGCGCGGCGGGGAAGGGGGGGAGAGGGGTAGTGGGGCGGGACATGGTGGAGTAAGTCCATGCAGCGAGGCACAAGCGCGCATGAGCGCATGCACGCACGGGTGCACACTGGGAGCACACGAGCACATGAGCACATCAGCACACGAGCATACGAGCACATGAGGCAGGCCAACTGCACCTTTCATTTCGCTGCAGCGGCACATACAAGCCCCGTCTCACTCCCTTTGCGTCGCTTCTCCATGCCCCTGCGCGCGGCCTCCCCCATCCTCCCCTTCCCCCTTCGCGCACCTTCTTCTTGAGGAAGAGAGCGAGCTTGCCGCACGCGGTGGTCTTGCCGACGCCCTGCAGCCCCGCCATGAGCACCACGGTGGGGCCCTTGCCCTCGGGCGCGTACGCGATCTCCGCCACGTTGCCGCCCATGAGCGCGACGAGCTGGTCGTTCACCACCTTGACGAGCTGCTGGTCCGGCCGCACGCCGCGGATCACGTCCACGCCCACCGCCCTCTCCGTCACCTCGCGCACAAACCGCCGCACCACCGGCAGACTCACCTGCAGCACCAGGAACGGCGTGCGGTTCACGGGGGAATTGCGAAAGGGAGACGATGGGGGGGAAGAGTGCATGGGGATGCGCGTCGGTTCTGCGGTGGCGCCCTGGCGTGCGCGCAATGTGTGGCGCCATGGCGTGCGCATATCAATCTATCAGCGCAACTCACATCGGCCTCGAGCAGCGCAACTCACATCGGCCTCCAGCAGCGCAACTCACATCGGCCTCGAGCAGCGCGCGCCGAATGTCTCGCATCGGCTCCTTGATGTTGTCGCGCGTCAGCTTGTCTGCGATCGTGGCGGGAGAAGGGAGGAGGAGGAGGGGGGAAGGGGGGGCGGCTGGACCAGCGGCTAGCGCGCAGGAAAGGAGGGAACGCACGGCGAATTGATTAAAACACGTGCATGAACGTGTCACTGGGAATAGGAGAAGCAGGTCAGCGTGCTCCGGACACGCGTTCCGATGGCGCACCTTGCGCGCGCAGCTTGGTCCACGCCTGCTCCAGGCTCGAGCTCAGCTGGTCGAACACCGCCGCGCGCACCACCACCCGCCCCGACGGCCCTGCACGCCGTGCCGCGCGCCGCGCGATGCTCCCCACTGTGCAGCCCAGGAGGCCCGACGACTCCGCGAACGCGGTGGACGTGCTGGTGGCGAACAGCGACGATCGCAGAGGCGGTTGGGCGACTGCTCTTAGAGTCGCACGTGAGGTTGCTGCGACGGATGCGAGGTGTGCATGTGATGTGAGCGACGATGCGAGCTGCTGCGAGGGAAGCGCCGCGGCCATGGTGGGATGAGGGGCGGCACGGAGGCTCGTCATCCTTACTCCCGTGACGCGTGTTGGGTGGAAAGTGACGGGCGACGCGACGAACTACTATCCTGCTGTGGACGAAAATCCTCGAGTTGAAGGTATTGGAGGGCGAGAGGGAGGGTGACGATGAAGGAAGGATATCATCAACTGCCTATTTGACAAAAAGCAAAACTCCACGTGGCTGCTCGCTGCTGGAACCTCCTTTATAAATCAGTAGCAGTTTCAATGCTTCTGCTGTACTCAAGATTCTTCTTATAGTTTTTATGAGTGAGATTGAGCAAAGATTGCACAATTAAAGCAATTGCATACAATAGTGAAGGCATGAACGGATTGTTAAACAGCGAAAAAGGATGGTAACAGTAACAAATGATCGCAAGATTTCGCTCATCGGAAAAGAGCAGAATAACAACAGCGGAAGAGCGCGTACGTGAGAGTGCAAAGACAAAGGGGACTTATCAAAGGGGTGGGGAAGACGCACTTGTGCAGAAAAACGCTCGGAACGAGCGCTTCCACCCCCAAAACCCGGAAGGATCAGCACATGTGCAGGAAGTGCAGCAGTCGATCTTTATTCGCGAGCGCCGATGACCGATGATGCTCGCAACTCTCGCGCCCCCTTGCTGGCTTAGTAATAGGCCCAGACAAGCGCAACCACGTGACCCGGCGGAAGAAAAACGCTAAGAACGAACGTTTCCAGCCACAAAATGCGGAAGGACCCGCACATGTGCACGAAGTGCAGCAGGCGCTCTTCATTTGCGAACGCCGATGACCCATGATGCTCTCAACCCTCCCACGCCCTTGCTGGCTTGGTAAAAGGCCCAGACAAGCGCAGCCACGTGACCTAGCGGAAGAAAAACGCTCGGAACGAGCGCTTCCAGCCCCCAAATGCGGAAGGATCTGCACATGTGCAGGAAGTACAGCAGGCGTTCTTCACTCGCGAGCGTCGATGACCGATGATGCTCGCAACCCTCCCACGCCCTTGCTGGCTTGATAATAGGCCCAGCCAAACGCAACCATGTGACCCGGCGGAAGAAAAACACTCGGAACGAACGCTTCCACCCCTAAAACGCCGAAGGATCTGCACATGTGCAGGAAGTGCAGCGCGAGCTCTTCATTCGCGAGCGCTGATGATCGATGACGCTCGCAACCCTCCCACGCCCTTGCTAGCTTGGTAATAGGCCCAGACAAGCGCAGCCACGTGACCCGGCGGAAGAAAAACGCTCGGAACGAGCGCCCAGCCCCAAAATGCGGAAGGATACACACATGTGGAGGAAGTGCAGCGGGCTCTCTTCATTCGCGAGCGCCAATGACCGATGATGCTCGCAACCCTTCCATGCCCTTGTTAACTTGGTAATAGGACCAGATAAGCGCAGCCACGTGACCCGGCTAGAGAAAAACGCTCGGAACAAGCGCTTCCACCCCGAAAACGGGAAAGAATCGGCACGTTCTTCATTCGCGAGCGCCGATAACCGATGATGCTCGCAACCCTCCCACGCCCTTGCTGGCTTGGCAATAGGCCCAGACAAGTGCAGCCACGTGACCCGGCAGAATAAAAACGCTCGGAACGAGCGCTTCCAGCCCCAAAACGCGAAAGGATCCGCACATGTGCATAAAGTGCAGTGGGCGCTCTTCATTCGCGAGCGCCGATGACCGATGATGCTCGCAACCCTCCCACGACCTTGCTGGCTTGGTAAAAGGACCAGGCAAGCGCAGCCACATGACCCGGCGGAAGAAAAACGCTCGGAACGAGCGCTTCCAGCCCCAAAACGCGAAAGGATCCGCACATGTGCATGAAGTGCAGCGGTCGCTCTTCATTCGCGAGCGCCAATGACCGATGATGCTCGCAGCCCTCCCACGACCTTGCTGGCTTGGTAATAGGACCAGACAAGCGCAGCCACGTGACCCGGCGGAAGAAAAATGCTCGGAACGAGCGCTTCCACCCCCAAAACGCGAAAGGATCCGCACATGTGCAGGAAGTGCAGCGGGCGCTCTTCATTCGCGAGCGCCGATGACCGATGATGCTCGCAACCACGCCCTTGCTGTCCTAGTAATAGGCCCAGACAAGCGCAGCCACGTGACCCGGCGGAAGAAAAACACTCAGAACGAGCGCTTCCACCCCAAAAACGCGGAAGGATCCGCACATGTGCAGGAAGTGCAGCGGGCGCTCTTCTTTAGGCAGCACCGATGACCGATGATGATCGCAACCCTCCCACGCCCTTGCAAGCTTGGTAATGGGCCCAGACAAGTGCAGCCACGTGACCCGGCAGAAGAGAAACGCTCGAAACGAGCGCTTCCACCCCCAAAACGTGGAAGGATCCGCACATGTGCAGGAACTGCAGCGGGCGCTCTTCATTCGCGAGCGTCGATGATCGATGATGCTCGCAACCCTCCCACGCCCTAAACCCTAAACCCTGATGGATAGCGGGAGAATGGGGCGGGGTGATGGAGAGCGGGAGAATGAGGTGGAGTGATGGAGAGCGGGAGAATGGGGCGTGGTGATGGAGAGAGGGAGAATGGTGCGGGGTGATGGCAAGAGGGAGAATGGGGCGGGGTGATGGCAAGAGAGAGAATGGGGCGGGGTGATGGAAAGCGGGAGAATGGGGCGGGATGATGGAAAGCGGGAGAATGGGGTGGGGTGCTGGAAAGCGAGAGAATGGGGCGGGGTGATGGAAAGAGGTAGAATGGGGCGGGTGATGGAAAGCGGGAGAATGGGGAGGGGTGATGGAGAGCGGGAGAATGGGGCGGGGTGAGGGAAAGCGGGAGAATGGGGCGGGGTGCTGGAAAGCGGGAGAATGGGGCGGGGTGATGGAAAACGGGAGAATGGGGCGGGGTGATGGAGAGCGGGAGAATGGGGCGGGGTGATGGAAAGCGGGAGAATGGGGCGGGGCGATGGAAAGAGGGAGAATGGGGCGGGGTGATGGAAAGAGGGAGAATGGGGCGGGTGATGGAAAGAGAGGGAATGGGGCGGGGTGATGGAAAGAGGGAGAATGGGGCGGGTGATGGAAAACGGGAGAATGGGGCGGGGTGATAGAGAGCGGGAGAATGGGGCGGGGTGATGGAAAGCGGGGGAAAGGGGCGGGGTGCTGGAAAGCGGGAGAATGGGCCGGGGTGATGGAGAGCAGGAGAATGGGGCGGGGTGATGGAAAGCGGGAGAATGGGGCGGGGTGATGGAGAGGGGGAGAATGGGGCGGGGTGATGGCAAGAGGGAGAATAGGGCGGGGTGATGGCAAGAGGGAGAATGGGGCGGGGTGATGGAAAGTGGGAGAATGGGGCGGGGTGATGGAAAGAGGGAGAAAAGGGCGGGGTGATGGAAAGAGAGGGAATGGGGCGGGGTGATGGAAAGCGGGAGAATGGGGCGGGGTGATGGAAAGCGGGAGAATGGGGCGGGGTGATGGAAGGAGGGAGAACGGGGCGGGGTGATGGAAGGAGGGAGAATGGGGCGGGGTGATGGAAAGAGGGAGAATGGGGCGGGGTGATGGAAAGCGGGAGAATGGAGCGGGGTGATGGAAAGCGGGAGAATGGGGTGGGGTGATGGAAAGCGGGAGAATGGGGCGGGGTGATGGAAAGCCGGAGAATCGGGCGGGGTGATGGAAAGCGGGAGAATGGGGCGGGGTGATGGAAAGCGAGAGAATGGGGAGGGGTGATGGAAAGCGGGAGAATGGGGCGGGGTGATGGAAAGCGGGAGAATGGGGCGGGGTGATGGAAAGCGGGAGAATGGGGCGGGGTGATCGGAAGCGGGAGAATGGGGCGGGGTCATGGAAGCGGGAGAATGGGGCGGGGTAATGGAAGCGGGAGAATGGGGCGGGGTGATGGAAAGCGGGAGAATGGGGCGGGGTGATGGAAAGCGGGAGAATGGGGCGGGGTGATGGAAAGCGGGAGAATGGGGCGGGGTGATGGAAAGCGGGAGAATGGGGCGGGGTGATGGAAAGCGGGAGAATGGGGCGGGGTGATGGAAAGCGGGAGAATGGGGCGGGGTGATGGAAAGCGGGAGAATGGGGCGGGGTGATGGAAGGAAGGAGAATGGGGCGGGGTGATGGAAGGAGGGAGAATGGGGCGGGGTGATGGAAGGCGGGAGAATGGGGCGCGGTGATGGAAAGCGGGAGAATGGGGCGCGGTGATGGAAAGCGGGAGAATGGGGCGGGGTGATGGAAAGCGGGAGAATGGGGCGGGGTGATGGAAAGCGGGAGAATGGGGCGCGGGTGATGGAAAGCGGGAGAATGGGGCGGGGTGATGGAAAGCGGGAGAATGGGGCGGGGTGATGGAAAGCGGGAGAATGGGGCGGGGTGATGGAAAGCGGGAGAATGGGGCGGGGTGATGGAAAGCGGGAGAATGGGGCGGGGTGATGGAAAGCGGGAGAATGGGGCGGGGTGATGGAAAGCGGGAGAATGGGGCGGGGTGATGGAAAGCGGGAGAATGGGGCGGGGTGATGGAAAGCGGGAGAATGGGGCGGGGTAATGGAAGCGGGAGAATGGGGCGGGGTGATGGAAAGCGGGAGAATGGGGCGGGGTGATGGAAAGCGGGAGAATGGGGCGGGGTGATGGAAAGAGGGAGATTTGGGCGGGGTGATGGAAAGAGGGAGAATGGGGCGGGGTGATGGAAAGAGGGAGAATGGGGCTGGGTGATGGAAAGCTGGAGAATGGGGCGGGGTGATGGAAAGTGGGAGAATGGGGCGGGGTGATGGAAAGAGGGAGAAAAGGGCGGGGTGATGGAAAGAGAGGGAATGGGGCGGGGTGATGGAAAGCGGGAGAATGGGGCGGGGTGATGGAAAGCGGGAGAATGGGGCGGGGTGATGGAAAGCGGGAGAATGGGGCGGGGTGATGGAAGGAGGGAGAATGGGGCGGGGTGATGGAAGGAGGGAGAATGGGGCGGGGTGATGGAAAGAGGGAGAATGGGGCGGGGTGATGGAAAGCGGGAGAATGGAGCGGGGTGATGGAAAGCGGGAGAATGGGGCGGGGTGATGGAAAGCGGGAGAATGGGGCGGGGTGATGGAAAGCCGGAGAATCGGGCGGGGTGATGGAAAGCGGGAGAATGGGGCGGGGTGATGGAAAGCGAGAGAATGGGGAGGGGTGATGGAAAGCGGGAGAATGGGGCGGGGTGATGGAAAGCGGGAGAATGGGGCGGGGTGATGGAAAGCGGGAGAATGGGGCGGGGTGATCGGAAGCGGGAGAATGGGGCGGGGTCATGGAAGCGGGAGAATGGGGCGGGGTCATGGAAGCGGGACAATGGGGCGGGGTGATGGAAAGCGGGAGAATGGGGCGGGGTGATGGAAAGCGGGAGAATGGGGCGGGGTGATGGAAAGTGGGAGAATGGGGCGGGGTGATGGAAAGCGGGAGAATGGGGCGGGGTGATGGAAAGCGGGAGAATGGGGCGGGGTGATGGAAAGCGGGAGAATGGGGCGGGTGATGGAAAGCGGGAGAATGGGGCGGGGTGATGGAAAGCGGGAGAATGGGGCGGGGTAATGGAAAGCGGGAGAATGGGGCGGGGTGATGGAAAGCGGGAGAATGGGGCGGGGTGATGGAAAGCGGGAGAATGGGGCGGGGTGATGGAAAGAGGGAGATTTGGGCGGGGTGATGGAAAGAGGGAGAATGGGGCGGGGTGATGGAAAGAGGGAGAATGGGGCTGGGTGATGGAAAGCTGGAGAATGGGGCGGGGCGATGGAAAGTGGGAGAATGGGGCGGGGTGATGGAAAGAGGGAGAAAAGGGCGGGGTGATGGAAAGAGAGGGAATGGGGCGGGGTGATGGAAAGCGGGAGAATGGGGCGGGGTGATGGAAAGCGGGAGAATGGGGCGGGGTGATGGAAGGAGGGAGAATGGGGCGGGGTGATGGAAGGAGGGAGAATGGGGCGGGGTGATGGAAAGAGGGAGAATGGGGCGGGGTGATGGAAAGCGGGAGAATGGAGCGGGGTGATGGAAAGCGGGAGAATGGGGCGGGGTGATGGAAAGCGGGAGAATGGGGCGGGGTGATGGAAAGCCGGAGAATCGGGCGGGGTGATGGAAAGCGGGAGAATGGGGCGGGGTGATGGAAAGCGAGAGAATGGGGAGGGGTGATGGAAAGCGGGAGAATGGGGCGGGGTGATGGAAAGCGGGAGAATGGGGCGGGGTGATGGAAAGCGGGAGAATGGGGCGGGGTGATCGGAAGCGGGAGAATGGGGCGGGGTCATGGAAGCGGGAGAATGGGGCGGGGTAATGGAAGCGGGAGAATGGGGCGGGGTGATGGAAAGCGGGAGAATGGGGCGGGGTGATGGAAAGCGGGAGAATGGGGCGGGGTGATGGAAAGCGGGAGAATGGGGCGGGGTGATGGAAAGCGGGAGAATGGGGCGGGGTGATGGAAAGCGGGAGAATGGGGCGGGGTGATGGAAAGCGGGAGAATGGGGCGGGGTGATGGAAAGCGGGAGAATGGGGCGGGGTGATGGAAGGAAGGAGAATGGGGCGGGGTGATGGAAGGCGGGAGAATGGGGCGCGGTGATGGAAAGCGGGAGAATGGGGCGCGGTGATGGAAAGCGGGAGAATGGGGCGGGGTGATGGAAAGCGGGAGAATGGGGCGGGGTGATGGAAAGCGGGAGAATGGGGCGCGATGATGGAAAGCGGGAGAATGGGGCGGGGTGATGGAAAGCGGGAGAATGGGGCGGGGTGATGGAAAGCGGGAGAATGGGGCGGGGTGATGGAAAGCGGGAGAATGGGGCGGGGTGATGGAAAGCGGGAGAATGGGGCGGGGTGATGGAAAGCGGGAGAATGGGGCGGGGTGATGGAAAGCGGGAGAATGGGGCGGGGTGATCGAAAGCGGGAGAATGGGGCGGGGTAATGGAAGCGGGAGAATGGGGCGGGGTGATGGAAAGCGGGAGAATGGGGCGGGGTGATGGAAAGCGGGAGAATGGGGCGGGGTGATGGAAAGAGGGAGATTTGGGCGGGGTGATGGAAAGAGGGAGAATGGGGCGGGGTGATGGAAAGAGGGAGAATGGGGCTGGGTGATGGAAAGCTGGAGAATGGGGCGGGGTGATGGAAAGAGGGAGAATGGGGCTGGGTGATGGAAAGCTGGAGAATGGGGCGGGGTGGTGGAAAGCGGGAGAATGGGGCGGGGTGATAGAAAGCGGGAGAATGGGGCGGGGTGATGGAAAGCGGGAGAATGGGGCGAGGTGATGGAAAGCGGGAGAATGGGGCGGGGTGATGGAAAGCGGGAGAATGGGGCGGGGTGATGGAAAGCGGGAGAATGGGGCGGGGTGATGGAAAGCGGTCGATTGGGGCGGGTTGATGGAAAGAGGGAGAATGGGGCGGGGTGATGGAAAGCGGGAGAATGGAGCGGGGTGATGGAATGCGGGAGAATGGGGCGGGGTGATGGAAAGCGGGAGAATGGGGCGGGGTGATGGAAAGCCGGAGAATCGGGCGGGGTGATGGAAAGCGGGAGAATGGGGCGGGGTGATGGAAAGCGAGAGAATGGGGAGGGGTGATGGAAAGCGGGAGAATGGGGCGGGGTGATGGAAAGCGGGAGAATGGGGCGCGGTGATGGAAAGCGGGAGAATGGGGCGGGGTGATCGGAAGCGGGAGAATGGGGCGGGGTCATGGAAGCGGGAGAATGGGGCGGGGTAATGGAAGCGGGAGAATGGGGCGGGGTGATGGAAAGCGGGAGAATGGGGCGGGGTGATGGAAAGCGGGAGAATGGGGCGGGGTGATGGAAAGCGGGAGAATGGGGCGGGGTGATGGAAAGCGGGAGAATGGGGCTGGGTGATGGAAAGCGGGAGAATGGGGCGGGGTGATGGAAGGAAGGAGAATGGGGCGGGGTGATGGAAGGAGGGAGAATTGGGCGGGGTGATGGAAGGCGGGAGAATGGGGCGCGATGATGGAAAGCGGGAGAATGGGGCGCGGTGATGGAAAGCGGGAGAATGGGGCGGGGTGATGGAAAGCGGGAGAATGGGGCGGGGTGATGGAAAGCGGGAGAATGGGGCGCGGTGATGGATAGCGGGAGAATGGGGCGGGGTGATGGAAAGCGGGAGAATGGGGCGGGGTGATGGAAAGCGGGAGAATGGGGCGGGGTGATGGAAAGCGGGAGAATGGGGCGGGGTGATGGAAAGCGGGAGAATGGGGCGGGGTGATGGAAAGCGGGAGAATGGGGCGGGGTGATGGAAAGCGGGAGAATGGGGCGGGGTGATCGAAAGCGGGAGAATGGGGCGGGGTAATGGAAGCGGGAGAATGGGGCGGGGTGATGGAAAGCGGGAGAATGGGGCGGGGTGATGGAAAGCGGGAGAATGGGGCGGGGTTATGGAAAGAGGGAGATTTGGGCGGGGTGATGGAAAGAGGGAGAATGGGGCGGGGTGATGGAAAGAGGGAGAATGGGGCTGGGTGATGGAAAGCTGGAGAATGGGGCGGGGTGGTGGAAAGCGGGAGAATGGGGCGGGGTGATGGAAAGAGGGAGAATGGGGCTGGGTGATGGAAAGCTGGAGAATGGGGCGGGGTGGTGGAAAGCGGGAGAATGGGGCGGGGTGATAGAAAGCGGGAGACTAGGGCTGGGGGATGGAAAGAGGGAGAATGGGGCGGGGTGATGGAAAGCGGTCGATTGGGGCGGGGTGATGGAAAGAGGGAGAATGGGGTGGGGTGATGGAAAGCGGGAGAATGGGGCGGGGTGATGGAAAGCGGGAGAATGGGACGGGGTGATGGAAAGCGGGAGAATGGGGTGGGGTGATGGAAAGAGGGAGATTGGGGCGGGGTGATGGAGAGCGGGAGAATGGGGCGGGGTGATGGAAATCGGGAGAATGGGGCGGGGTGATGGAAGGAGGGAGAATGGGGCGAGGTGATGGAAAGCGGGAGAATGGGGCGGGGTGATGGAAAGCGGAAGAATGGGGAGGGGTGATGGAAAGCGGGAGAATGAGGCGGGGTGATGGAAAGCGGGAGAATGGGCGGGGCGATGGAAAGAGGGAGAATGGGGCGGGGTGATGGAAAGAGGGAGAATGGTGCGGAATGATGTAAAGCGGGAGAACGGGGCGGGGCGATGGAAAGCGAGAGAATGGGGTGGGGCGATGGAAAGAGGGAGAATGGGGCGGGGTGATGGAAAGCGGGAGAACAGGGTGGGGTGATGGAAAGCGGGAGACTGGGGTGGGATGATGGAAAGCGGGAGAATGGGGCTGGGTGATGGAAAGCGGGGGCATGGGGTTGGGTGATGGAAAGCGGGAGAATGGGGCTGGGTGATGGAAAGAGGGAGAATGGGGCGGTGTGATGGAAAGAGAGAGAATGGAGCTGGGTGATGGAAAGAGGGAGAATGGGGCTGGGTGATGGAAAGAGGGAGAATGGGGCGGTGTGATGGAAAGAGAGAGAATGGGGCGGGGTGATTGAAAGAGGTAGAATGGGGCTGGGTGATGGAAAGCGGGAGAATGGGGCTGGATGATGGAAAGAGGGAGAATGGGGCGGTGTGATGGAAAGAGAGAGAATGGGGCTGGGTGATGGAAAGAGGGAGAATGGGGCTGGGTGATGGAAAGAGGGAGAACGGGGCGGGGTGATGGAAAGAGGGAGAATGGGGCGGGGTGATGGAAAGCGGTCGATCGGGGCGGGGTGATGGAAAGAAGGAGAATGTGGCGGGGGTGATGGAAAGCGGGAGAATGGGGCGGGGTGATGGAAAGCGGGAGAATGGGGCGGGGTGATGGAAAGCGGGAGAATGGGGCGGGGTGATGGAAAGCGGGAGAATGGGGCGGGGTGATGGAAAGCGGGAGAATGGGGCGGGGTGATGGAAAGAGGGAGATTTGGGCGGGCTGATGGAAAGAGGGAGAATGGGGCGGGGTGATGGAAAGAGGGAGAATGGGGCTGGGTGATGGAAAGCGGAGAATGGGGCGGGGTGGTGGAAAGCGGGAGAATAGGGCGGGGTGATAGAAAGCGGGAGACTGGGGCTGGGGGATGGAAAGAGGGAGAATGGGGCGGGGTGATGGAAAGCGGTCGATTGGGGCGGGGTGATGGAAAGAGGGAGAATGGGGCGGGGTGATGGAAAGCGGGAGAATGGGACGGGGTGATGGAAAGCGGGAGAATGGGGTGGGGTGATGGAAAGAGGGAGATTGGGGCGGGGTGATGGAAAGCGGGAGAATGGGGCGGGGTGATGGAAATCGGGAGAATGGGGCGGGGTGATGGAAGGAGGGAGAATGGGGCGAGGTGATGGAAAGCGGGAGAATGGGGCGGGGTGATGGAAAGCGGAAGAATGGGGAGGGGTG